CTATATTTCGCCATTTAGTGGACATACTATCACATGTGATTAATTTTATATATTATATTTTGTCTGGACCTATTTTAGTTATTGTTTTATTTACTTAATATTTATATAAGTTGAGTGGACTACGTTATGCCATTTTGTATATTGGTATTGTGTTACCGAGCGTATGTATTTGCGTACATCAATGTGGATGGTATAAGGCCAAGGTAGCACAAGGCATGTATTGGTAGTTGGGTGACGTAAAGGTACCTTAGGGGTGTCATAAAAGTCGCTTCTTTATATGTATATTCCAGTTCAATTACTAAATGCCATTGAAACAATGTATATCAACTGATGTCATTGTTTCCGGTCTATCAAAGGTCTGCTATTGATTTTTAGGGTGGCTCTTCGACTAATATACAGACTAATATACAGACATTAACACAGTATTCAGCCATTGTGAAAACACTGTGTGTATAATAGTATTGTGTGTGTATTTTAGATTCTAAAACTATATTTTAATGACCGATGGTTTGTTAGAAATTGGTTGTACCCCCAATTAACACTAACATTACAATTAAGAGGTCTAGAAATATGAGGAATTAAAGATGAAATAAATGGACCCTTGACCTCGTGTCGCCCCTACCGAATAATAACCCGATGAATGGAAATAATAATTTTCCATATTAATAGCGATATAGCCCAGTACAATAAGCAATCAAGTTCTCATGAGAAACTGAGTCATCTCCCTTTTCCATGCGGATGCAACAAAATCAGTAATTGTCCCATTTGTGTTATTTCGGGAAAAAGAGACGAATATATGACGCTTTCATGGATCCCATAATCTAAAAAGAATAATTTGGATCCTTGGCCTCGTCCCACCCATGCGGAAGTTTATCACTATGAAAACACTGGATGATAAAAGTGAGTAATCTCTCTTCCCCAAGAAGACGCAATAAGATCAGTAGCTGAACGAGGATTTCCTAAACAGTTACCACCATTTTAAACTGAAATGAAATGAAATGGGGTTTAACGTCCTACTGTTCTGCTCCGAACTGGGCTAATGAAGACGGGCATTCGCAATACAGTGTACTATGAGGAACATTTTGCCCGGACAGCGGCACAATGCCCTACTCTTATATCGAATTTCAACTGTCAAGGGATCTTTTACGTGCACGCCAATGTGTACACGGGACCTCGGTTTTTCGTCCCATCCGAACGACTAGAAAGCTTTTCTTGTCAGGCCCTCCGTCCTGCATCACTGACATGGGGGAACACGCCAGAAAATCTGGATGAACTTTCTATGCTAATACAGGCATAAAACACCCGACCTCCACACTAGCGAGCCAGCTTCTTACCCACTTAGCCACAGTGACCCCTCGATTTTCAACTAATCAACATTATTTTAAATCACAATGTTACTGTGTAAGTATGTATAAATTGTTGTCCATCTCTACAAAAACATAACTTTTGACTAGCTCCGATATGAGCAAAAATGTACTTTAAAATGTTTTAAACCAGTCTTGAAACCAACTTGTGTCTGAATAATATATATTCTTTAATTAAATAGTTTTATAAATATAAAGCTTTAAAGGGACAATAACACTCTTCCTGGCTTGATTGTGTTAGTGTCCTACCTGTTGTGTAAATTATCCATTAAATCCTATTTTACTTGTCCAGAGGGTTCAAAAATATTTTTAAATCCAAGTCACATTTGAAAAGCTTTACGTCAGGCTTTTCAAGTCATTTAGTTGAATTTTTCCAATTTTTTAAATTAGGTGTGTTAAGATGAAATTTGTATCTTCAATTAATTGGAATATTGTAAAATAGTGCAATTTGTTGACCAGAATAAAGATTGGGACATATTATTCAGTTACAACAAGAGTGGTATTGGGCCTTTAATAATGTTATCACATTATAGTTTGTTTCTTTATTACGTTTATTCCAAATGTAGGTCTATATTGTCTTATTCAAGTCCGCTAAGACGTTAATTTTAAAGTAAATTGACTAATTAATTGTTATATTCAAATTCAACACTCTAATTCGTGAACCGTACACATTATCTAGGATAAAAGACATTAGTTTTTTGCCCTTGTAATTGTCACGAATTGTGTTTTCGTGATAATCATGATAAGTTTTTGTCTCATCACATGACAAATTGCTAGTGTGACAGGATACGTCTGTCGACAATCATACTTGCTCCCTCCGTGAGTAACCGAATAGGCCAAAAGAAATTCCGCACGTTCAAGTCAGCAGAAAGCATATTTAAACCGGAGACATCACAGGACAGGGGTTTAACGTCCACTCGACAAAAATTAGGTTATTTCGGGACTAACGCGCGAAGGGGTCTTTAGCAGTGGGAGGAAACCGGGGGACCCGGAGAAAACCCACGAGGTTGGACAAGCGACCCTACTCCTTGTCAAGTAGAACCGGGAAATCGAAACCACGCCAATTGCCTCAATGACATTGACAGACCTTACGATACAGCACGCATGTTTTTTTTTTATATAATATAGTTTATTTGCAAATACATACATATAGTATATGCGTATAATACAAACGGGATCAGAACAAATTGTACAATTTACGAATCTTCTCCCGGTATAATCTAAAATATTTACAATTACCACTGAAATTTAATTATTAACAGTGATAAACCACTGGAGAATTACAATAATAGCTACAGATTACATGTGAATCTTTTTGTTTCTTTAATGTAATTTTGTACGGTGAGAAAAATATGGATATTAAAAGATTTTGGAAACAGAGTAGAACCGTCTAAATAAATTTTATGCAACTCAGGTCGTGGTAGATGGCCTATAAAGGCCAAGTTTATCAAGTAAGTGATGGCGTTGTAACACTTATTTTGAGCAATCAAAGAAGTATTGAAATGAATTTTCAATGCTTTTATTATCGCATTTACAGTATGGATTTTGAACGATGTTTGATTTAATAAGATCATAATTTAGACCACTACAGGTATGACGTATACGATTATGGTAAATGGATAATTTTCTTCTGCCAATGTTTCTTAATTTTGGAGGTTTGACTTTAGTCTTGATATTCGTTTGAAACTCAGATAAAGATAGTGCTAACCATTCGGCCATCCAACCCCGATTAGATACAGCTCAGAAACATTAAACATACATTGCATAAGACACCCTTCGTGAATTCCAACTATATCACTGATGACGTTGGTGGGGCGTTGCTCGCTAACCAGAAAATCCCGGGTTCGAGCCGGGTGTCGTTTGCCCTTGTCAGTGGTGCAGGACGGAGAGTCTGGCAAGGAATACTATCTAGTCGTTCGTATGGTACGAAAAACCGAGGCCCCGTGTGCACATGAAAGAACCATTGAGAGTTGGAATTTGAAACGCTCACGACAACCATAGATAGGTAAATTGATGTAGTTCCTTACAAGGAAATGATGGTGGTGATGTTCATCTTTGTCAATTTGCCATCGTGCTTGTTCATTTCGCAATAACATAAAGGGTTTTGTTGGGCTGCACCGTCTCAAAAGAGCGTTACATCTATACAACGAAAGTTTTCTGTTAATGTATGCGCGTAGTTAGTATTGACGAACAAATACATCCAGCTGTGCACCAAACGTAATTGCAGATCTCTAACCAGGAGGTCCGAGGTTCTATCCCAATGTCGGTTTCCCTTTGGCGGTCGTGCCGGACCGAGAGAGTGGCTCTGGCAAGGGACAGTGTCTATAGTCACTCGAATGCGACCAAAAACCGAGGTTGCGTAAAAGAACCGTTGACAATTGGAATTTAATTGCTCTCCGGGCAAAATTTCCCACATAGCACACTGTATGGCTTAGGTTCGTCTTCATTAGCCTGATTGGTGCTGAAAAGTTCTACGTTAAACCTCATTATATTTATTCATCAATTTAAACATACATTATGCAAGAGAGAGAGAGAGAGAAATGGGGTTTAACGTCCACTCGACACAAACTAGGTCATTTCGGGACTAACATATGGTTTAATTTTATTTACATAATTCGCTTGCGCGTAGGGGTCTTTAGCAGTGGGAGGAAACCGGAGGACCCGGAGAAAACCCACGAGGTTGGACAGGCGACCCTACTCCTTGCCACGTACAACCGGGGATTCGAAACCACGCCAGTCGACTCAATGACAGACTTTATGATACAGCGCGCGCACGCTAACCATTCAGCCATCCAACCCCCCTCATTATGCAAGAACTAAATCTGCCTATTGCAAGTCTTTCTTTAGGCCTGAAATGTTTTCTAAATTATTAATTAGACATTAATTAACTTATCCAGGCCATAATCAACTCGATGGCATCGGATTTCTCCAATATTAAATAGATTAGAACAGTTCCAGCCATATTTTTGATTTAAGCTAAAAATGGAAGAGCGTGACTTAGCTTCGAACAACCAGTACGGTGGTTGAAATTATTTCACACGCCTTGTCAAACCTGCAAAGGCTAATATCTTCGCTCGCAATAGAGTAATTTGAATGAAATTTTCAAATTATTCATTTTACATTATCTATTTTTGAGCTATTATAGCAAGAATGATCAGCTCTTTATCTAAATCTTACATAATGTATCTTTAATTGTAGGAACGCTAGCTTCCTTAAAGTGATAATTTCATATTTTCTAAGAAAGTCAAAACATAATTTAAAAATTAAACGAAACTTACCTGGAAGTTGAAGTTTGATTGTAATTCTGCTATGTTGTTGACGGGGTTAGAGGTAACATGAGATGCTTGCGCAGCTAACTGATCATTCTTTAAAGTGTGTTTGATTCCAAACATAATACAATGTAGAAAAAAGGGGGACAGGGAAGATAGGGAACATTTTACTCTAGCACAAGCCTAAGGAGTGACCCAACATGGAGGGCATGTTACCTCTAACCCCGTCAACAACATAGCAAAATTACAATCAAACTTCAACTTCCAGGTAAGTTTCGTTTAATTTTTAAATTCTGCTATGTTGATTGACTGTGGGTTAGAGGCTACATGAGACTTCAAAGTTGTAATCAAACACAGACAGTTGTAAAAATTTTTAAGCATTTATTATTAAACACATTAAACCATAGTAGTAATTATTTTATAATATCAGATCTTAGATCTTTAATCTAAGGAATAAACAAGCTTAAAGTTTTGTAATCAGTCATTATCGTTATGTAAATTTTCCAGAATTTTTGCACTAAAAATTCCTTCTTCAGACAAAGGTTTTTTATAATATTTTCTGAATGTGGTATCTCTTGACCAACCTGCAGTTTTAATTATTGATTGAATAGGAACACATGCTCTTTGTGCAGCACTCGATGCTGCTGATCGAACACTATAAGGAACAAATTGTTTTATATCAATTCCAGCTGATTTTAAAACTGTCTTAATCCACCTGGAAATGGTTTCCCTGCCAACTGGTTTGTAAGGCTTTATGAAGCTTAAAAATAATTGATTAGATGAACGAATATCTTTTCTTCTATCCACATATTCTTTTAACACTGTCATTAAACACAAACGTGTATCAGGAACATAAGCTTTTATTCTGATAGGTTCTTGATGAAATCCGGGTCTAGTTTGCTTTAATTTATCACCAATTATAAACTGAACTGAACCTTTTCCCATTCGGATATTTCTTATATCCAACAACTGCAAAGTCTGAATTCGACTTGATGATAACAAACTAAATAACATAATTAATTTAAAAGTCAGAAGTTTTAACGAGATTTTCCTCACAGGAGACAACTTTTTTAGGTACGATAAAACAATATTTACATCACATGAACACTTATTTCTTGGTAAAGCAGGTCTAATATTAAAAACACCTTTTAAAAATCTTGTCAGATAGGCAAAGAACCCACAGGTTGATTGTTAATTGTAATAAATGAAGACAATGCACTTCGGGCTGTGTTAATTGCACTGTATTTCAATCCAGACTTAAAAAGAGAGGTTAGAAATTCCAGAATATTTTCTACAGATGGTTGAAAGGCATCCACTTTCCATTTATTACAGTACCTAAACCATTTGTCGATATACGATCTGTATTGAACCATTGTTGATTTTCTCCATAATGATTGGAGAATGTCTTTAGTTTGCTGTGAAATATTGTACTTTGAGAAGAAAATCCTGTTATCCTCACTGCTAACAAACACATCTTTGGCAAATCTGTCCTTGGATTTTTGGCATGATGATGAAGACTTTTCTCTACCCTAGGTAAAATAAAAGGGTAATCAATTAGCATGTGGATCATTTTACTAAACCATGCTTGTGGGTTCCACCATGGCACAATAAGTATTCCTGTGGCACAGTCTGTCTCAACTTTCTTAAGAACACGGCCAATCACAGCAAAAGGTGGAAATGCATAAAAAGAAATGCTTTTCCATGACACCGTAAAAGCATCAATTTTTTCTGCAAATGGATCAAGTTTAAAAGAAAAATATCTAGACAATTTATAATTTATATGTGAGGCACATAAATCAACCTCTGGTGTACCCCAATTGCAACATATCATATTAAACATGTCAGAATCTAATTCCCATTCTAAATTATCTTTATTTGGATCGTCACGACTTAATCTATCTGCATCCACATTTAAAATACCTGGTAAATAAGAAGCTGATATTTCAATATTCCGATCAATACAAAACAGCAATATGTCTCTGACAATATCATTTAAATGATTAATTCTACCACCCTGAGAATTTATGTAACTAACAGCTGTGGTGTTATCAATTTGAAGTAAAATATTGACATTTTTATAAATTCTTTCATAAATGTAAAAACTCAAAATTTTGCTGCAAGCAATTCAAGTTCATTAATATGTTTGTTAGATTCTAGGTCATTCCAAAACCCTTTAGCTTCCTGTCCATTGAAAACAATGCCATATCCAGTTTTAGAAGCATCAGATTGTAGAGTAAATTCATTATTTTTAATGATTAGAGATTTTTCTTGACACTTAATATGATTAATCGACCAATTTAGATCCTCAATACAATAATCTGGAAGTATTATTTTAGCATCGAAATTCCCAAATTTTGATTTTAAAGCACTAGATTTAAAGTTATCACACCTTCTATAGTATAATTTGCCATAGGGTACCCCAGGAAAAGCTGATACAAGCAGACCAATTACAGCTGCAAACTCTCTAATTGTAACCTGTTTTTTACTTATTATAGAAGTACAGTTTGATAGTATCTTAACAGTCTTTTCTTGAGTTAATTTTACAGTCATTTGTTTTGAATTAATGATAAAACCTAAATATTGAATAACCTGTACTGGTTTAAATACTGACTTATCATAATTGATAGTAAACCCAGCAGAAATCGCCAAATTAACTGTGTCTATGACATTTTGCTGACAAGCAGAAAGACTGTATCCAAGAAGTAAACTATCATCAATGAATGCCGAATTTATATGTCCTTTTGCCCGAAGATTAGAAAAAAGGACCTTAATTAACTTTGTAAAAAGTCTTGGAGCTGAGGAAAGTCCATTTGGTAAGCAGGTAAACTGAAACAATTGAGCATCCCAAATAAATCTCAAATATTTTCTGTCTGATATAGCTACATTAACCGAAAAATAAGCTTCCTTAAAATCTATTGAGGCCATATAGCAATTTTTTGAAATAAGATTAAGAGCTATTTCAAGAGTTTCCATCTTAAAATGATGGTATGTTATATTTTCATTTAAATCCTTGAGGTCTAAAATAATTCTAAGCTTTCCATTTTTCTTATCTCTGGTAAAAATGTTTGAAATATATTCACCCTCAACATGATTACATTTTTCAATAATACCCTTTTCTAAAAATTTTGAAATTTCTAATCTCTGGTAAAAATGTTTGAAATATATTCACCCTCAACATGATTACATTTTTCAATAATACCCTTTTCTAAAAATTTTGAAATTTCTAATGAAATTGCATTTATTTTATTTTCATGAAATTTGTATGGATATTCAATGAAATCTTGCTTAGGTTTTAAATCAAATTGCAGATTTAAACCACAGACAATCTGAAGAATATTTCGATCTGTTGTGAAATTCTTCCAAGATTCTACTCGTTTTTTCAGTTGACCTGCTTGAAAAAAGGATTCTAATAAAGGCAGGTTTGCCGATATAATATTAGTAAAATTTTCCCAGGAATCAGACTTACTTCGAATTTCACTCACCAAAAGGTCAGATTCTAACTCTTTGTTTGAGTTACATGTAGGTTTTTGTCTTTGTAGTGGCTGCTTTTCCAAGATTTCTGATATCTTGTTTGGCCCGTTTTCCGGAAGCCCTGGGACAAAAAAGGCTTTCCATTATTTGAGTAACCCTTAGTACTTCTTTTGTAAGGCTGGTACCGATAATTATTATAGTTATTTCTATATTTATACGCAGAAGTAGACCCTGAGGTTGAAGGCTGTATACACTGTTAGCTTCCTTCAGTTCTTTAACTTTCTTGCCCAGCTCTTCTCCAAATAGAAAAACAGAATTTTCAACATCTCCAGTTGGAGGATTGCACAACAATTTAGAGGGATATGACAAATCTGGTCTCAAAGTGTCTTTTCTCTTTTGATTTAATTCACGATTTGCCTGTGCCAACATAGTCATACTATCCATTGCCATTCTGATAGCCTTTGACATGTCATCTGGAGAACATTTCGCCTTTTTCTTCAATTCCATTAAAAAAGCAATCAGCTCTGCAAGTGAGTAAGAAGTTTTAACCACTTTATTTTGAATTTTCTGAGACTTCAGGTCTGTAGTTTTCGTGTTAGTTTTCAACACCGACCAAATTTCCTTATTTACTAAAGGCATGTTAACCTCCGTATTTGCTGGCTTAGGATATTTCTCTGTCATTTCCTTAAGTTTTTCCTCAGGCAGTACCTTTACAAACAATTGATTAACAATAGAAATCAATTTTGGGTTTAAGTTTGCCCCCACGACTTCTTTTATAGTGTATTCTTGTTCAAGAACAGTTTCAAAAGACTCTGTTTCATCTTTGTTGACTTCGAGATTATCTCCCTTTACACTATTATCGTCCGCCAACAAGTCATCAATTTGGTCAATGACATCGTCGTTGTCATTATCATGTCGAACATGTTGTGCAGAAGGAATAATATCATCCTCATCTAAATCCGAATAGGAAACAACATTTTTAAAGATCTCTCTTCGTTCGTGTTTACGCTTTCTGCGTGTTTTAAGTTCATCTTGTCGACTATTTTCGCTGTCATACACATCACAGCCTTGACCTTGTTTACATGAGCGACCAACATTTGATTGTCGTAAATCGTCTGATTTTAAGCTGTCTAAAATGAACTGCTTTAATTCTGACAAGCTTTGCTTTTGAAAATTACACATTTCTGTACGGACCGTGTCCAAAACAGCTTTTGTAGTTGATTCTGTCGTAACAGTGTTCAATTTGGTGTCGTCGACAGTTTGGCTAACACTAGGCCTAGTATTAGTAACCGTTTTGTTGCTATTTATAGAACTACACATAGCGTTCTTCGCTATCCCAACTTGACTGGGACTTGAATCTCGAGAGGTTGAGGATAATTTCCCCCCTTCAGAAGCGGTTTGTGTGTCATTCGGGGATTTTACCCCATTTCTAGCCCTCTTTGCCTTTGATTTATCAAAAATATTAGAAGCCAAGTCAAACTCTGCCGTTTTCGTTTTCCCCTTGAAGTTGATGGGCTTGACGGTCTTGACCATGTTGGAGTTGGAATCCATGTAGGACAGTCGACCACGTGGATCAATCAATATTTAGTAGCGTTAAAGAGAGCCAGTGGCAACCTAAAACGATTCAAAAACTTTGAAAAAATTCAATTATTTGTGAGAAGAAAGGAACACGTCCTTTCCATTCAAAAAGCTGCACGCTAATGATCAGTTAGCTGCGCGCGCATCTCATGTAGCCTCTAACCCACAGTCAATCAACATAGCAGAATTATTTCTGTCTTTTGCTCAATAGGTTATCAACTCACTGTTATACGACCATGAGCATTATTTCCCACCTTCAAAAATCATTGACACAGGCAAAAATAACACAATTACCTCCCTTGTTTTCCTACTGCCTCCATGCATTAGCTACCTTCAAACGTTGGAATTTGAAGTTGAAAATGATATTTTTGCCAATTTCTCAGCTGGCAATAGTGACTTATAGGATTATTCTTTAACAAGGTAGGACGGTTTATGGATACCATCTATTTTAAGGCTTTATTTTAATAAATTTTAAAAATATAACTTAAAAATATGAAATTGCAGCTTCAAAGCTACATCGACGTTATTACATCAATATTCTAATCAATAAATCGATCCAATGTTTCATCTGTAATCATACCCTGTTTATTTAATGAATAACCCATCCTGATCAATTCATCCGTTTATCAAACACTTAAATCTTTCCTAGAATGTGAATGTTAGTTTTAAAGTATCACTGTTGCACTGAACACAGATTTTTAAAACTTATTTGGCTTTGCTCTTCGTATAGTAATTAACTCATTGATGATGAATTGGGTGATACTAATATGTGGTTGTAGTATAGAATTGGGAGATATTTCAAATGCTTAAGCTATCGGGTACTGATACTATAAACAAACTTATCCAGTTTATCGTAAATATTTTGATAATTCCGGAAAATGTTTTTATAATTTAACTACTGTGTTAATTTTTCACAATAAGTAGGTATTATGTGGTGGTATTTGGTAATATCAGCATATCATTAGTAATGGGTAGTATTGGGTAAATCGTGCTGCCGGTCCTGAGGTGTCTCGGTGACTCGATGGGTAAAGCACTGGTTCGCTGACCAAGAGCCTCCGAAGTCTACTACCTGACTTAGTGTCAAAACATATATTTTACGGGGTTAAACTAAATCATCACACCAACATATTGGGATATGTACAGGTTTTATACAGATAGAATCCTAACTAATCCTAATAATTGTTGTAAATAAATAGGAGTTTGCTATGTAAATTTTTTTGGGGTCCAAGTATATTCAGACCCCCCCCCCCCATGTGTGACGCCCATGAACGCACAAGCTTGCCATGTAAAAACCTATCTCGATTGGAGCGAGGGTGCAATACGGGTCAGTCCGCATCCACCTGACATCATCCCAACAGTCCTGAATTAGATTACCTTTTGACATTTGTCCCCAGGAGCAAATTGACAAGAATGGTCCACTATACAATGTATCCCAAAAGACAAAAAAAGAGTGCCTTTAATCAAGGGAATGGAGACGACATTAGTTCTGCCTGTTCCCACCGGTCGATTCATTCATTATATGAAAGGCGGAGATGCCATTAAAAAGATTCCTGATGTATATTTAATTTACATACATTCTATGATCTGTTTTTAATTTATCAAGCGTAACCGTGTAAGCCATAAAAAATATCGTTATCTTGTACCGAATGTAACCAAACCACAGATCCCACTTTGTTGTTTTTTATAGCATAAAGTATGAGAAACGAAAGAAATATAGATCTCTATTTTAGTCAGATGGTGACCCAAACCTACAATAATTTGCTAGATTGAACAAAAACAAGATCGATCTGTAGATTTCCGTAAATCGCAGAGTATCATATTAAAGTCTACTTATTTCATTATTTTGTGCTTTAGGTAGGTTTCCAAAAAATGTGACCAATTTTGAATAGACTATTGCTTACCAACGCTAATTAAATAAGCTAAAATTATATTTCCTCGCCCCTGTTATCAATTTTAAATTCGATACATTAAGATTAACACCAGTAGCATGGTGGGGCGGTCGTTAATGACACCTTTATTGGGTGTAATAGCTGTCTCAGATAGCACCAAGTCATGAGAAAATGGGGTCTGTAAGACGTTAAATGCCCCTTGTCAGTTCCAGGGTCCAAGTCCCCGATTAATGTTGCGATTTTTCAATTGGAACCCGTTTTTCTATCAACATTGTTAATAATTATATCTCTAGCTACATGTATCAATAGAACCATCTTTTAAAGGTCAAGGGAGCGATACCTCCGATGCAATTTGAAAAATAAAGCCCCCACCCCCCTCCACTCATCTATATATATATTTGTGACTGTCGTTTGTCTGTCTGTCTGTCTTTCTGTCTGTCTGTCTGTTCAGGGTTGGCGGCTACACTAGGTCTGCCCCGAGTCTGAAATTTGGGGTATGGGGGTAGCTCGAACCGGGGAGTAACATAGGCCAGGTGGCGTTAGTCTACCACTTCCGGTTTCGGAGTTATGACCCCCTAGCGAATCCGGTCTGTTCGGGGTTGGCGGCTACACTAGGTCTGCCCCGAGTCTGAAATTTGGGGTATAGGGGTGGCTCCCACCGGGGAGTAACATAGGCCAGGTGGCGTTAGTCTACCACTTCCGGTTTCGGAGTTATGACCCCCGAGCGAAGTCTGTTCGGGGTTGGCGGCTACATCTGCCCCGAGTCTGAAATTTGGGGTATAGGGGTAGCTCGGACCGGGGAGTAACATAGGCCAGGTGGCGTTAGTCTACCACTTCCGGTTTCAGAGTTATGACCCCCGAGCGAAGCCGGGTATCCTGCTAGTAGCATATAAATAAAACTTCTACAACTTTATACAATCTAAGAGGTGAAGTTGGAGTATAGCAATGATACATCCATTAAAAATTTATTAAAAATAGTAAATATTAGTAAATTCAGAAGTAACCAACTGGGTAGAAGTGCTTAAAATTGGGAATTTATTACGTTTTCTGTGGCATCGTCGCTCCTTAATATTATTTCTAATGGTTGTGTGGTTGTTTAGGCTTCATACATATAAACAAATGGGTTTTTTTAAACTGAAATGATATATAGTTTCCACTGGTTGCTAATATACAAATAAAATATAATACCGATAATCTATTGTGTAGCCAAAAATCTTCCTCAGATTAACAATTTAAAACAATATACACAAACAACATGCTGCATGGCAACGTTAATAATAACATTTCACTGACCCTTATGAAAGTATTCAATACCCCCTAAAACCCTTTGCAACATGCTAGAGTACACACTTCAATTAAATTGTTAAAGATAATACAGCAATCAAAGTTATCCACGGGATGAAGTATTGTTTCTAGGGTAAAACAAGTAAACCGTAATAATCCCTACAACAATAAGGATTAGAAGTATCGGGTTGCCAGAAAACAAACGAGTACATCATTTAAAGTGGAATAATTCGAAAAGTGTCATACCTATATCATTAACATTTCAAATAGTATACCGTATGGATGTTAGACATCTGCACTCTAAATTGCAGGTCCACGGGCACAGCTCATATAGTGTTTACACAGCATGAGTTTTAGAAAAAAATGCTTTATCAAGTTTTGCAGGATAGATAAGTTTACATAAACAAATAATAATTGTCAATGTGTCCCCCGTCTTGAATGCAGACTTTTGCAGAATTATTCCACATTAAATAATAGTATACTCGTTTCTTTAAACCACCCGATCTAGTCAGTTTCTAACTACTACTAGACGGTGCCCAGTGTAAACATTTCAAGATGTTATCTGGATTCTCTCGCTGTCTGCCCCTTTATATGGTCATTGTTTGGGGTTTTCCACTTACCACTGGTAATTTAGACCCAGAAAAATTCAGATAAGGAATGGCATTTTGGTATGGCAAATATAATCATCTTATTTTCTCTGATTATAGGTAGTGCCCGGGTTAATATTTTTACCTGCATTATTTATTCATTTTAGATATTTACAATAAGAAGAACAAAAGGAAAAAAGGTAAATTCAGAAACGTATATCTTGAGAAGATCATTCCAATGAAACAATCAAATCGAAAAAGTAAAAGCCGAAAACGTCTTGCTTTCACAGTAAATCATATATGGTGCTTAAAATACCATGAATGCCTTAAATGGATTATAGATAAATGAAACAAAATAATTTTCCTATCACATTGTATTGGCACGATGCAACTCGTTTTTGGTAATATACTGTTCATTTAGAAGTTTGCCAACACCGGGACTATTTTATGTGCTTCCATTTGTTTATTTCAAGACACCGAATGAAATACTTTGAACTTTAGGAAGAAGAAACTTGCTGGGAGAAGCCTAATCTGGTATGTGCAGAAATGTTTTGTTAACTCGTGAGTGTTTACAGGTGGAGGATATATACTCGCGTGATGCTTATCATTTATTTTAAATATCAAGGACACGGAGGTGGTTTTTGATTTTAGAAAATACGCCGATTTATGAGTATGAAGCCATTAAAAATCATGACATAAACTACCAAACACATACACACAGATTAATACTGGCACCAATGTTGCACTCGATCTTATTCAATACAGTTATTAACTTAGTATTTCGATTTTGTTATTTTTTATATGTTTTGCAAAGGTATCATTAAGATAATTAAGAAGGGAATAAAGCTGTACAAAGATATTTTTATAGCTGATTCCGTCAAATTTTAAAATATTGCAATTGTATTCTTGGGCAGCCTGCGTACAATTTGGTCAAGTTACCTTTCCTATATTCCAGTTTTCTCAGAACGTTTTGGTTCATTACCTGTTATCTATAGTAAATTCAACAAACTATTTATTACTTAATAAAAGTTCAATTCGTACTGTCAGTAAGGACATATTTGTAAATTAATGCGTGTTTTTTAATTGGAAATGTGTGAAGTCTGAGATTCAGATGGTACCAATGAAATCTGCTCTAATACGAATTATGGGATAGAATTCTATGGGGTCCACATCCAATATTTTTCCTGTAACGTATATAATTAATCATCATGCTACTTAATCTGACGCGTTTAGACAAAATGCACATTTCTTAGGATAATTTGCATGTTTTACTATTATTTTTTACCGGGGTTTCCGCTTTCTCCATTGATGATTCTTCGCGTTTGTTTCCCTCTTCTTCATTTTCCGCTGTTTGATCGGGTGTGTGTTCTGGGTTGTTTTCTGTGTTTAGTTCATTTTCTTCTGAACTCTCAGTGTCTGTCGTTGGTTGTTTGACACTTGGCTTTTCTTTATCAACAGTTCTGATGTGTGCAGTAGGATTATTACTGGGCCCTGCTGACTCTTCGTTGCTCACCGTTCCTTGATCTTGCTCATCTAACTTTTCTAACGTCTGGTCGTCTGAATTTTCTAAGGCCTTGCCGGTTTCTTTCTCCAGCTCACTTTTCTTTTTCGTCAGTTGTGTTTTTGTCGATTTATTAGCCTTCTTATATGTGTGCATCATTTCCCTTATTTTCGGATCCGTTTTCAGGTTAAATGCCGGAGTAGACGGTTTCAATTTGGAGTTGTTCAATTGTTCTGGCTTTCGAAAATATGATATATCCGTGTTCACGGATGCATCCAGAGAAAAAAGGCCTATTAATGATTCAGTATTATATCCTGGTGGAGCGTTCCTTGACATCCTGGATACTCCACCTTCCTTGATTCCATCACTTAAAATTGTAGACGCAGAAGCTCTTTCAATTACAGACGCTTCCTCTCTGGGCCCTTCACTAAACACAGTTGAAGTGACTTGACTTTTATTACCTATCGTCTTTGAACTGTTTAGGGAACAGGTAGATTTAGTGTTTTCACTAGCCTTAGCATCATTTTTACTAGAAACTACATTCACATTCGTATGCTTTGAAGCTGGACGTGATTCGATGAAAACATTTGTATTCTGCCCAATTGTGCTCCCGTCTTCGTATTTTTCGACACTTGTTAACGACGAAGACTCACCCTTTCCAAGATGAGTCACAGAACTATATTTGGAACTCGAAGCTGACCGATTTGGCTTATCGGGCGAATGACTATTAACCAAACGCGAGTTGACTGTATCTGGTTCCGGTGTAGCTGTTGGTGTAGGTTTGGGTGTTGGGGTATTCTTACAACATCGTTCACAGCATATCTCCGGTTCTCTTGGCACCACCGGTGGAGGAATTGGTTTCGCATTTCGTCCAAAAACCTTTTTGGATTTTGGTTTCTTCTTTTTTCTCGGCCTAAAAATAAATGGAAGCATTTGGTGTGAATTATGTTTATGTAACAAAAACCTATTACAATATCGATTAATAACGTAACACCTCGTTACAAATTGATAGTAAATATTCTCAGGTCACCAAATCCTGCAATGCTTTTTATTTAATATCATGAAGCTGTGATTTAATACGCACATCAATTCAAATTTTTGCGGATTCAAATCGAATGCACTACATTTTTCATCGACACATGTATGCAGTATCTTGCTCAGTCTGATCAAAGCACGTATAAAACAATACCGTTGCATGCCATGGGCTTCACTTTTTCTCAAACTATTATTCCGATACATTTAATAAGCGGGTTCCATCGAAATTTGGTGATTGCAATTATGGCGGGAAAAGAAATTACCCCAAGTTGTGTATTAGCAGCAAGCAAAGGGCAGACCTCTTTGATTTGGAGCAAAATAAAATGGTCGATTCCACTGGATTTTATTTATTGAATACCTTTGTGGGATGCCAAGTTTTACGCCCATACTTAAAGCCAGTGTTCGAACATAACCGAATTTTTGTTCCACTATTGGCTAGGTCCATTTACATGAAATTTTACTATGTAACTGTTTGTTAGATACAAACACATCAGGTCGAAAATGGAGTTTTAACATCTTAATTTTCTCTACCGACGAGGCGAATGAAATAAATCAATAACTGTGTATCTCCGGAGAGCATTGTTACATGATCATGTATTTTTTTTTATATCTAACTTCATAACATCTCTGTATTCTCTGCATGAATAAAGCTGCATGGCTTTATCAAAATCTTTATTAAGGCAGTTCATAAATTATTGTATATTATTATAAGAAAGTAAAAATGGAAAATTTTTTCAATCATAAGTATTGACTATTTACATGTATACTTACACAATAGTTTGGTCGCAGATACAGACATGCGGTAGTGGTATATCTGAACAAGGCTTCCCTTCTGTTTGGTTCCCTCGATTCTGAAGCAAGGCAAATAAATATCAGTAAAGGATGATAGCAAGTGAGAATGGGCTGATAACAAATATCGGAAAACATGATATATAAATTGGTATAATTTTGATTAAAAGATTGAATAGGACATGCTCATACAAGTAACCGTATAGATTTGTTCTCTTTGTTAAAAATTAAAAAAAGAAGAGTTAAGTATTCTTGCACAACCCGGCCTTTACATGTTGTTAACTGATTGTTTGAACGTGGGATTCAATAGCTAAGGAAGATAACCTCTAACTACGCAATGGTCACCACCAAGATATGTTAGGCGATTTTTCAGAACAACATTTGTGCATATTAGTTATACTCTTATTTAACAATATATAGATCAAAACATATTTCGAAGGTATAATTTCGCTAATGGGTGTTTAGAGCTGATGTAAATTACGACTAATTGTCCTAGGGTTAGACATGGGTAGTCACAAATTGCATATCATTACAAATATTTGCCAACGTACACAAAAGAGGTGGGGGGGATTTTAGAAATAAACTGATTAACTAAAACTATTTGTCTGCACAACTAGGGTCAATAACTCTGTTAATATTAATCGATATTCTTAAATATTAAATAGGGTACATTTTAACTAAGTTTTCGAAAAAAGGACGATAACTCCATAAATATTCATCAAATTTTTCGATATTGAACCGACACGGTACCACTTACTGTGTACTTGCAAACAAAACAAAATGGATGGACTTTATGAAGCAAGAGCAATAACACTGTAAATATTTATATATCGGAATTCTGAAATATTGAATAAGGCACACTACCTACATCCAATTCGGTCCATAACATCTTTTTGGTTGCTAACATACGGAAATTGTGAACGGACCCAGAGCCATGACTGGAAATAAAAGAGGTGTATTACCCATTGTTTCCAAAGCAATCTTTTCTCTTCCAAATTAACCAGGTGTTCCTGGAACGTCATATCCGCTTCAATAGCCTTCCACATAGGTTTAGCAGATTGGGTGGATATTGCTTTAGACAGGTACAGTTCAGTTCGAAAATTCCTCTTAATAAATGCATCTATAAGGTTTAGACGTTGTTCTAATCTATATTCTCCTGGAAAACAAAACGAGTGCCGGTCACAATATCAGCTCACTATTAGCTCCGTTGGCTCGCTCTAAGAATTTCACTAACGTCTGTTAAATATTCAATACAGTACGACGTCATTACGTGACTGACACGGGCTGGTGACCGGAGGCTCCGGGGTCTGACCCCGTAAATGGCGTCTTTTGGAGTATGTACCAAACCAATTCATAAAAAAACGACGTAAATTTAAGACTGAAAGGGCTCCGAAACTACAGCTTCCTCCGTCCACCCCTGTTGTGTGACAATACATTGGATTGGACATCTTAACAGAGCTATAATTATTGCAAAACAACTGTCGCGGATCTTCATAATAACGCCATACACCCCTATATTCCTGCTTGTCAACAAAATTTATGAAGGGCGTGTAGGGCTCACACTGGCTTTCAATATATTTTTTTGCGCCAAAAGGATCCTAATTTTGATATAAAATATTGTTCATATAATTGCAGGTATACGAAGTCATTCTTTGGATAATACATTGGCCAAGTTTTTAGATGCTTAATCACTGACTGAAGTTTCAAATTCGTTTGTAAGAGATAATGTAATTTGAAATAATATTGTCCAATTAGGCAACCTTGTATATTTTCAAGGAAAGTAAATGGAATTCAACTATCAAAATATTTACTTCTCTGTGAAAATAATTGTGGACCATTTTGATTATTTCCCTTCATTGTTTTGAAAGACGAAACAAAACATCGAAAAATCACCACTTGGATTAATTAACACGAGGAAATTATAACTGGAAATGACTTTACCTTTGGCAATTATAAATCAACTAAAACCATTAATCAAAAAAAAAAAAGAAAAATAAAAGAAAGAGAAATTGATTAGTATTAAGCATGTCACGTTCCGGATATTATCGGTTAGTTGATTAATTGTTACATACAACGTAATAGTTAATGCAGGATAGCTACTATTAGAATTGAAAGATTTTTTTCCGCCATTTCTCAAAAGTAATCGCAAGTACCCCAAACCATTATCTTCAAAATCACATTTCAATCACCACGTTGATCGTTTGCTATCGCAAATTGCGCAGGAACATTGTAATGGCGGAGTCAATATTGTCATGATATACGAGGCCTGGCTGAAAATTTATAAGCCTGAAAAGGATAGATCAATTGGGTTTAAACAAACTTTTGCCATCATTGAATAAGAACTGCAACGTTTTTATTTTCTTTGTACCACACTATCTTGTGAACCTACACACTGAAATAACCAGAAATTGACAAAACTGGTTTTAGGGCAGTCATAAAGTACCTGTAACCCTTCCTTTTCCACAGTAAAGAAGTGGACCGAGGAATTTAAGCGTGGCAGAGAGAGCCTTGTTGATGACCCGCGTCTCGGAAGGCCATCAACAGCAACCATTCATGAAAACATGGTGATGACTGATCAACGATTGACCACTCGACATATTGCCAGTTTTGTGGGCATCTTTCATGAGAGGGTTGAGCACATTATCGCTTCTGCACGATGGGTGCCCAAAGCTCTTAACTGCAGATCCTGATAATTCTTTGGCCACATTTGTAACCATGGATGACACGCGTTTGCAGAAATTAATTAAGGAACTAGTCGGTCGTCATGTTTCTAGAAATCATGACGTCATGTCAGCTCTATTTCTTCCTGGCCGACATCCAGGCCTTGCAACATCTTTGGTAAAAGTGTGTACACCTCAAAGGGGACTATGTACAAAAATAAATGGAAACCACCGACTGTGTACAGGTCTTTCACAGATGGGCTTAGAACTATACCGACCTGCAAGCTTCATCATGACTAAAGCGTGCGGGTATAAAACAGTGACGACACTAATTGCCATTTTATAAAAAGAAAATATCCATTGATCCTCGTGATGTAATACACCCCCAACAATTTATCAAATTCTGTTAAGATTCTTTGGGTGGACAGGGGTGGTGCAATATATGCGGCTGTAATAATGGTGGATGTTTTTTTAGTGGCAACGTGTCAGGTAACAAATCAGCACAGTTTAATATTACATGAATGTAAAAGCTAAATCTGAAATATTATTAGACATTAGACATTAATTAACTTATCCAGACCATAACCAACTCTCGACGCCATCGCTAGCCTGCGATATGATATTTAGCGGATTGAAATACATTTTTTGAACAATAATTAAACGTAAAAATGGATAATCGAGACTTTGTTCTCTATCGAGGCTAGCCTCAAATTGAAAAACTAATATCTCGGTTAAGAGTTGAGCAATTTGACTGAAATTTTCAGCATATTCTATTTACGTTATCTATCTTTTAACGATTATAACGAGAACTGTCAACTCTTTATCTAATCTCCCATAATGCCCCTTTGAACTAACTTGTAATAATAATGATTATTTTCTGGCCAATATCGAATATTATAAATGGAAGCGGGGTGACCATTTTAGTGGAAGAATTCCAGTGCTTTTTACACAAATTTTGTCAAGATTTCTGTCCCGTATCCGCTTCTCAAGACTCAAAACCTGAATATCAATAAACCAAAAAAACTTATCACTGACTTTAGGATTAATAAATCATATATAGTTCCCATAACAATTGATGACGACAAATAACTAGGTACTATCATTGATGACAAATTATCATGGAACCAAAACACAAACGCAGTGTACAAAAATTGTGTCAACAACGCCCATATTCCATGCGCAATTTGCGATATTTTCACGTTAACCAAACCATACTTTCACTGTTCACTGTTTGACACTTCATTTATGTAAAGCATTCTTTGTTTTTCTATCCAGTGTGGGTACCCCTCCTTCACTGTTCAAAACAAAGCTAAGCTAAACAAAATTGTTAACATGACAAGCAAAATTTTAGGAGTTCAGTACACCCCACTCAATAGATAGCACAATAAATGTGTACTAAATGTTGCCAACAAAATAGCTTTTGATAAAACATTTTCTTTATAGCGAATACGAATTACTACCCTCAGGGCGTCGCTACAGAGTGCCAAAATTCAAAACAAAAAGATATCAGTCATTGTTTATCCACCAAAGCATATGTATACTAAATCAAGCAATATCTGACGAAATGCAATAGGCTGTCATTTGTTAACATATATCCATGTATTATGTATTATTTATATCTGTTTATTATTTTGTATCAAATTTTCCATCTCTTGTCTACGTTTAAGAATTCCCGTAAGGTAATAAAGAATTATTATTATTTCGATAGTGTGGAACAATCACGACTAATACTACCATTCCAACCAAAACTGTAGTGCGTATAGTCTTCACAAGAAAAGTTGGATGGATCGACGGACGAAATATACGGACACATTTTAAAAAAAAACCAACGAAAATAAATAATATGAATTTACAAAATACCCACCAATAGAACGCATGGCAGCATTTCTAAATCTCTTTAATTTCCTATCACGTTTACTTTTGGACTTTGACGACATTTTGTTCAATGTTTCAAAAACTCCTATTCATATGTTATACAGAATGTCTAGATTTATCTACGTTAATCTCTTAAGATCAATTGATTTCAGGCTTTTAAATTCATTCACTGATAACAGGAACGACCGCAAAAACACATATATAGATGATAATAATGGTGTCTTCCGAACCTATTGCAACATGTTTTGTTTCGCAAATCCGAAATAAGTGGTTTATTTGAGAATAACACTAATATCACCACCAGAATAAATCGCGGTAATAAAAAATGTATATGCGTAAATACAACAACCACTATTATATCAAACTATCAGAGTAATGACAATGTTGATAATTTGCATGTAAAGATGTCAAAGCATACGGAACACAATTCAATTCTACAGAGACACAGAAACTATGGATTTCAAAACCTGGAATTTCGTTTTGACGTTTCTAAAACGTATGTAGCCCACAAATTACTTGTCAAAACCATTGTTTGTATTTGCAGTCATAGAAACAAAGATTGTATTGTGTATACGAAAAAAGTCTATTGAACACCTCTCAACATTTGCCATGAAATATTAATACGACGGAATCATCGATGCTGACAAATCAACTCTATTAAAACATATGTAGAGGCGGGTGGGTATAATATGCGTTCATTAATGATTCATCATTGCGTTGAGTTCTGTTTTCGCCAACTAGCAAGGCAGAAAGATGTCGTAGATCATAGACAAAAGTTCCAATGTTTTACAATTAATGTGACACATTTTTTAGATAACGTATACCATCCACATCAAAATCATTAAATTAGCATCGCTAGAGAGCAAAGTGGTTAGTTATCTGTAAGCAGAATTCATCAAAAATAAGCTGTTCACACTATAATTAAACGGAGACATTATTTACATTAAGAAACGTCCCGTTGCCTTATATTGTTAACATCTTTGAGTGAAAATTTCTTAGCACTTCATATATCGTTAGGTATAGATTAAAGTAGATATAGTACAAATACTTCTATGTGTTTATACTGGGTTATATTAATATATACTCTTCCCAAAAAAAAGTAGGGGATATTGAAATGCAAATACCTATGCAGGTTGTGATATGATAAACAGTCATGAACACTTGACATGCTTTGAGAGTATGTTCACAAATGAAGAACTTATCGCCCCAACAGAACCACTGAGCTAGCTGCACGTCCGACACGCAATAACGCCATGCACGTGGGAGGGGTTCTTGGTCAAATTTGACACTTCAAGGAAGGGTTGATGAAAACTGCCGCGTGCTGGTTTATTCTATCCATGTTTGCTTTCCTATCGGTTCTTGCATAAGATTTACTGTTTAACGTATCTTTGCTTTAGTGTGTTAAGTTTAATTTGTAATGAAACGTCTTCAACATGATGAACATCTACGTGCTATTGGCATGCTTCAAATGGGTTCTACACAGCGAACAGTAGCCAACATGCTTAACGTGTCACAGTCTGTGATCAGCAGACTGTGGAACCGGTACCAACAAACACACAATATGGATGATAGGCGTGCTCGCGTTTGGAGGCGTGTAAATGAGCGTCATGCTAACGTTAACGTCAGACAGCATGACAGATTCGGGCGTGGGTCTGTTATGGTGTGGGAGGAATCACCATGACTGGCAGAACGGACTTGCATATTGTTCAAGGAAGGATCACTGGTGTGTACTACCGTGACCACATTCTGGCATCGATAGTTCTGCCCTTTGCTCAACGTTTCATCTTTCAAGATGATAATGCCCGTGCCCACCGCGCTCGTGTCGTGCAGAATGACTACCTCCAGCGTCACGATATTGTCCATATGCCTTGGCCAGCCATGAGTCCTGACCTTTCCCCTATAGAGCATGTCGTCGACGTCAACCGACAACACTGCAAGAATTGGCCGTGGCATTGCAAGAGTACGGGCGTCAGATTGCCCCAAATCGTGATTGGACGGCTGATTAGGAGCATGCCACGACCAATTGCTGAATGTCTGAGGATTGGTGGAGTAATTACTCATTATTAAGACAAAAATCAAAAACGTGCATTTTCACTTTTGACAGTGTATCTCTCTGCGAGTGAAATCGGGTCGTCATATAAGCCGCCCATATGAACTGTTTATGTTCATGTGTAGGTAATTGGCATGTTATTAACATACATTGGTTACCTTTAATAAAAACAGCAGTGCATTTACGCAGTTTTGTATTGTTTTTGAATATCGCCTACTTTGTTTGAAGAGTATAATACAACGTGTAACATGTTGTACATGCATGTACAATTTACATTTGAAAGCATGAACAGTAGCCCCAATACCTATCTAAAAAGCCGGCGTGAAGCAACACCCAGATCGTGAAAAATTAATTGATTGGTTGATTACTGAAGTTCTTCTCTTCTATTCAACTTCCAGACCTTCCTTTGTGTTCGGGGGTGGGGTCGACTGGTTAATGCGTGCGCGTTGCATCATAAGGTCTGTCATTGATTCAAGTGTGACGTGGTTTTGATTGCCCGACTGTACGTAACAAAGTAGGTCACCACGAGGTTTTCCTCGGGTCCCCAGTTTCCGCCCACTGCTAAAGACCTAGTATGTGTCGAGTGGACCTTAAACTCTATTTTCCCTCTCTCTTTTGTGTTCCACTCCGGACTTCAATACGCACACAGGTTAAATATATGACCCCCTATCAACAACCTCGCTATCGCTGACGATAGATAAATGGAATGGGTAAGATCCTGATTTTCAATATATTAATTTTGTTACATTGTCATATCAGGCTGCTGGAGTTATAAATTGGTCATATCAAGTAAGGCTAACGCTTCAGCAATTAGTCTAATAGTAAGTGCGCGGGGGGGGGGGGGGGGGGCACTACATGCAAAACAAAACCGACAAGATAAATCTGCGGACAAGACAAACTATATAGACGTTGCAAGAAATAAACAACAAATCACGTGAATAGATCCAGGGGCCAGCATTAACATTAAGCTAGCTTTTAAATAATCATTAATTAATCAAAGTAAGAGAACAATATCTAATAACCAAGCTTTAATTAGAATGAAATGCAACAACGGTAACGCCCGAACAGTTGTTCTAAGGTAGCTTTTAAATTATCATTAATTAATCATAGTAAAAGGTCAAAATAAAAGAAATAAAATAAATAATGTATTATGAAAGATTTAGGTAAAGATGCGTTATAAAAGATTTAAGTAAAGAACTTGCCGTTCTTGCTATAATAGTTAAAAAAAATAATCCATGAAATTAATATCCGATACATGCCAATATCGAAAAGAACCGAGATCGTTGGGATATAAATATAGATTGTAAGTTCCGTCAAAATTGGATAAAAGTTGTGACAAGTATGTCCACGACCAAATCTGAACGAACCCACGAAGAAAGGTTCGGTAATCAATAAATTATAAGAAAGTTCTGTAGAGAATTGCAGACCTTAAAATTTTAATGAGTTTTCGATAAAATCAATTGTAATATCTGTTTACCAAATTCGCCAATGTCGTTTCAAAGTGTTAACGATTCCATTCATTTGTCCTTTCGTGTATGACATTTTTGATTGTGCTGGTGAGTCTTTTGTGCGATGCTATTTACTATAGAATTTTTGGTGAATATTCATGATTTGGGGACGGAATGATAACAGAATTAAAAGAAAGGTTACGTTGAAATGTCTGGTGGATAGACTCACGTTTACTAGTTCGTTACTTCCAAGGTTAACCATTTACATGCTTTTGGGCAAAGCCTTCATGGCACTCCAATCGTTCAGCTCACCGAACATTTGGGAAGAGGTAGAACCGGGCATATAGGAACCCCCGTTGATTAGCTGTGAACATCGGAGTAAAGAAAATCTTTTTTGTAGAGTTTCCTCCCCTTGAATATAAATTTTGTATGTCTTGTGTTCATATAAAAGATTTGCCAAGTTAAAAACCGGAATGTTTCCTAAGTCTAATAGTACAAACACTAATAACACACGCATTTATTAGATACTATACTTTTATCTGCATTATAATCAGGTCGATCGCGGTATCGGTCGAGAAAATTTCTCAGGATTTTTCAGCCGTGTTTCTCCTTTTAAGAACGGATGGTCTGGCAATGAAGAAGCAGCTGGTCGTTTGGATTGGACAATTTAGAGCAGGCAGAAAAGCCGCTGTCTGGAAATCATTTCCCTCTCTGTTAGCCTTTTTGGTGCAGAAAAGATCGACGTTACGCCCAATTTCATTATTTTTTGGCATTATAATTATTTGTCCAATAATAAAGGCGGGAGAATTCTGTCTGGGCTAGCTCATGCTCCGTTTAAACTAAAATAAGCAACAAAACATCCCCATCCACGCATTCCACCCAAATATCAACAGAAAAACCAAAACAGCAACAAAATTAGTAATCATAATTAAAGATACTTTCCCAGAAAAGTATTTATCGGGTGGTTATTTGCAATAAAAGTATGTCAAATTTGGTATATAAGGAAAGTATAGACACCCATTCTTACTAGAAAAATACTGGATTACCCGAAAAAAAAAACGCCCATGGGGCAAGCACTGGGCAAAATTGTCAGGGTATCACTAACTGGCAAACCGACTGTTATCTGCCAGCTTATTGTGTGCCAGCTTAAGTGAAGGAGCGGTTGTTATTTCTTGATCAAATGGTTAGGCGGTTTTGGAAAAATTGTACAAAAGACTCTGCAATTTGTTTCGATTAAGATCGTATCTTTTAATGCTTAAACGTACACAGATTGATTTTTAACGTTTAATTTGAATAAAAACAAATAAAAAACGAGGCCCGTCTACAGATTTCACCGTAAACTATAGGTAGCGCTGGCCGATTTACACCATATGCTGTGTATCGTCTGTAGTGGATTTCGGATGTTGACAGAATTTTAATCCGTCGGAACAGAATTCAACCACTTTTAGACTGACATTCCCTTCAGAGATTGAATGTGAACAATATTATTGTTTACAAGTAGTCCGGTGGCTGAAGGGAGGGGGAATCGCCACCCGAACTGAATTTATGAGACCAAGTTTTTCTAGACCAGTTTTTTTGCGGAGATTCCACATCTGTGTGGTGGTCAGGCGTTTGAGGGGGCGTTTTCGAGATATGGGGGGAGGGGGCCAATGTCTACATTTGGGTGAAATGTCATTATGTTGACATAAATGATGATCATGTTATATATTAATAAAACATAAATTTCTAGGACTGCCCATCTCTAAATAAGTGTATATGATGCCCCTGGACAACTGTTTTCATTTGTGGGGAGGTGGGGGTTGCAGGGGTGCGTGTGTGGAAGAGATTGTGAGTGTGTGTGTGTGTGGGGGGGGATTGGCCGGAAATGCGTTCACGTTGATATAAATGATGATTTGCTTAGAGCTTGGTAAAAACATTACTTTTTAATGCCACTGTACATCTCTAAACATGTGTATAAGATTACCACTGTGTGGGGTGGGGTGGGGACAAAATGTATTTTTGGGGACAGAAAATTGACCTTAAAAGTGGCTTCGCGTTAGCGTTTTCGTTCAGAACAAATTTCGTCATTGAAAATATTAAATTATAATGGTACTTTTTCAAGAGATCTAGATAAATAATGCACAGTAAATGAGGGGCATGTTTATTCTTATAGTCTTCATCAGAAGAATCAAAATCAAATATCTCGACAACGCCTCCTCAAACGCCTGATCACCACCCAGATTCGGAAACTTGGTCTCATAAATTCACAGTTCGGGTGGTGCTCCCACCCCCCTTCAGCCACCGGACTAAATGAATCTCACAAATGAAGTTCAGAGACTTTAAAGTTTTCACTTCAGAAAAATATTCGTCTTAAAAGCTAAAGTGTGATTTCAGAGTTTTGTTATTAAAAAAATAAACTTACTATTAGGTCCTTTAGGCAAATTTTGACTTGGTGATGGTGAGCCTCTTTGTGCAGCTGCTATATTTCGGAGATATCTCATCCTATGTGGACGACGGGGGGCCTCTGACATCTTCAGCTTTGATAAAAGAACAGCAATGATATTATCGATATGGTACATAAAATTTGGAGTGATAATGATTGTATTCAGTGTAATAATCAATACTGTTGTAAATAACGCTCTTTACCAATAAAAGTAAATGAATGCAAGAATGAAATGGTGTTTTGTGGCAAAATAAATTATTACCATAATATATAAGTACTTTTAAATAAAAACAAATATCACAGTAAATATGAACTAAAAATAAATATCACAATACTTTATAATTCTAAATATATAACATTAGATTATATACACAATTACAATTTTCAATAAATTCTAACGCTTTACAATATAGATCTGGTTGCGGAAATAAATTTTATTAGTTGTAATTAATATTTGAATATCTGTAAAGATGTGTGGTGTGACCGTTCGTTAAGCTCGTTGAAACCACATTGAATTGAGAAACTAAACATATATATCTCAGCAATGACATGCCCGATTTGTCGCAAATTTTGCATATAATCTCATTTGAACATCCCGTCTTTATGAACAGACCAATACCCTTAAAGCTTTCATAAAGGTAAATGCAAAATTCCTTAATCGTGTATATTTGTAAGACTAAACTAATAAAATATAAATGTCTTATATGTCAGCTTCGTCAAAACATGCATGAATGACTGGTATGAATTTATATCCATACATGTACACGTGGAATTAGACCATAGTTATTTCTACTTATTCTGGTATTCAAGAATCCATGCATTAGATACATGTATTTATAGATAATTTGTTCTTATTTCTTTGCTTCGTTTTTCCGCGGTAGATCAGACGCTATCGCTAAGGTCATTGGAAAGCATACTATAGAGAAGATTTGGAATACACAGGCATACTCATCATGGAACCAGCTGTGGGTTATAGATTGTATTAATCAAACATTTGTTTCTCAGAGCTTCTAGTACATTCATTGAAACGGTTGATTAGAATACCATAATATAGAACAAAAAGTACTCCACATTTATTAGATTTGTGTTCTACCCCAGAAATAATGGTTAACTTACCTGTTATATTTACTGTTCTTCAACTAATAACCCTGTGTTGTATTTTAGGCGTTTGGCTTTTCATAGATCAAGGGTGCAACACTTTTCTGTTTTACTTATACATAGAGTTCATTTACTGTTTTCGAATTTGTCCTTTGGATTTTGATTAAGATTGATGGTAGTTTTATTCCTTTGTCTATGATTGTTTCCCTAAAATCGAAGTCTGCTGTCTCTGATTTTCTTTTTAAAATGAAAACAATATATTATATACATTTTGATATACTACACTATATTATGGTGATTGATGAATTGTTTCGTTTGATTCCACATGATTCCTTTTAGAAAAGTATAAGTCAATTTATGACCGTGTCTTGGAGAATTGATTTTATTTCCAAAGCACGGTATATATTATTAACCACTTTCAATTAGCGTTTTGTATCAAATTCAAAGACAATATTATATTCTTTTCAAATCGAAATGTGATATAAAGAATAATAAAAGAGTCTACCGACACTCTTCTTTTCAGTAAAAGGGATTGTATGTTTTAGAAGTTAAAAAAATCCTGTATCTACCAACGATAGCTTATTGTCTAATTGTCTGTTATACAATAACACGTGGATGTAGCATACACCGGTGAAAGGCGCTACTGTGTGATAAAGTGAACAGTATGATCTAATTAGTCACATTTTGTTGCTCTCCGTTTCTAACAACATTGAGAGACATGATTATGAAAGGGATATTAATATCCAACAGAAAGTCATTACTTTCCGATTGTCGAAATGTTATTCTCTGTTCTAGAAACAATCGTGGGCGACAGGCTTGATTTTGATTTATGGACAATTCTTTTAGGAAGCGATATTTCATCACAGATGGCAAACATCGAAGCGTAACGATGCTAACACCCACCTAAGACACTATGTTTATCACAGCCTAATTAGATCCATCCACATCAATGAGATGATTTTTATACGCCCACATTTTCATATGTCCATCAAGACGATAAGGTTCACAATTTTATCCGATTTTGATAAAAGTTATTTCCAAAAGAGCTCAGATGCAGAATACCCCTACTGAATGATAATCAAAAGCTAACTTTTACGTGCGATTTGTTTTAGGTTATGACTTGATTTAAACTAATCTTACTAGCCTGGTATATGGGGCTCGAAACAAATAATTATAGTTTTCGGACCGATCTGTGTTTCATTTTTGTATCTTTTTATAATAGACTGCCAAGGGGGCGTAGTGACAGTATATTTGCGAGTACAGATACTCGTGTGCTACTTGATATTTTTGCGCCACAACCACAAAAGTTTTAAATTTCGCAAAAATATTGTTGGAGGAATTTAGAAAGAAATGTTAGCAGAAAGATCACATAGTTAACATATTATGTTGTGTTTTGTATTTTGGCTGATCCCAGCTGCTTTGACTTCCGAATCCATGTCCAAGTGGCAAGAGACGTTTAAGGGTCATTACCATTTCTTTTTACATCTTAAAGGACAGCCACATTCTTCTAGTATGTCTTTTTTTGTTCTACTGCTGGCCAAATTATTGTCCCTTTACTAAAGTATATAATATCAAGCACTTTACAGCAATAATGTGCTAATAGAATTAACCTTCCACTTACATATTTTATTAATGAGCAGGTATTTGTTATAGTGATACGATTATAGTGATATTGATACAAATCAATAGAAACAGTTTTCATCAAAACAACCTGAAAAGCAGTTCATAATATTTCGAAAATATGGATCATTATTATTACAATCTAATTAATTCAACTTGAGCACAATTTATATATAAAGAATGGTGTTGCGAGAGCGGCGACAGCCTACTGAGAGCGTAGTACACTGATGCCTTCACACTTTATAAGGTTTCCCTCATTTCACCGCGACCTCGCCACACTCTTAAGAATCTTTGGTTCTCTGTTTTTTCTCTGTTTGTAAGGCGATTCAAGGTTTAAAGTTGATATCAGGATTAGTTCGTAAATGATTTGAAGGGAATTAAGTTCAAAATATCAATTTTAGATATTTATTTTTCCACGATTTTAAAGCACACATGTATAATGATTGTGACCAAGAGTAGTCTTAAAATTTGTTTTTCTTGTGGCATGCTGTACGTTTAAGGTTTTTTATCCTGATTTTGGAGTATCAAAGATACTTGTTAAATAGCCCGCTGTTCTTCTAAGGCTGTTACATTGAGGCATGATATAGAAGATATTATAAGAACGCACCTGGCACTTTATATTGTGTATATAATTTCACACACAAGTAAATCTATTAGTGTTGAGCGCATTCGGGCATGTGCAATTAGTTAACTGCAATAGATGATCAATTATCAGTATGGACCTGCTGTTCAAAGGGTTTTTAAAGGGTTAACCCCGGAACAAAATGTCGCAGAACGCTTCACACTCTAGCTTAACAGGGTTTTCAAAAGAATGGTAACTCCGAAACGGAAGGTCGTGGAATGCTGAATGTCGTTCGTTCTTTCATGACCCCAATACTTTACACCGAATTTTAAAAAAAACGCTAAGACTAGCAACATAGCCTTTAATTTTAAAAAGATACTATATTGGGAAAATAGCTCAGTACTCCAAATGATACACATAATCACTAAAAGATTCAACTAAATAGGAAAGCCGTAGTGCTGTTTTCTGAAAGCCGTGGTGCTGTTTTCGGGGGGTTGTAGCTTATTCCAACACTAACCACGATAACTCATAGTTAAAAGTGAAGTTTGATTACAGTTTTATCCGGTCACAAGTAACTTTTATGTAGTGCCCATTCAGTTTTATCATCAAAGACCCTAGATTCAGGGTCTACTGAATGATTGGAAACTCCAGGAATATGGGATGCTCAGGGGGGGGGGGGGTATGCTCTACACACCAAAGAGAGATTTCCCCATACTCCCCGCAGTGTTTCGTTTGATTAGAGCTAATCCCACTAAACACTGCTTTAATGGAAGCAAATTTCTGTTCCAAATAATGACTGGTCAATAGTCCGATTAACAACCAATAGTTAACTGCGTAACAATGTGATTACGCTTTAAACATTGGACCAAATATGTTTACATAACGTTACGTCATGACTCACGATTTTATTATGCCCAATTAACCAATGCATAGCAGAATATTGCAGAAGACCCCAGATCAAACGGAGGACTGTCATGTTGCTGTACTTGGGATAGATTTGATTGAACGGGAAGAATAGACACACTCCCTCAAAAGCTCAAATATCAGAAGCCAATCCAGCAATGGACAGAGAGGGATTTCTCGGGCCATTGCTTCAGGAATATGGATTTCCCTGACGATGGAATTACTACCAGGTTTAATATTGTTAACATATCCCACTGTTGTGGTGTTATCCATATCAATATCAACCCGTGTATGTTCATTATGTGCATCAACGCATAAAGCCTGCAAGCCAAATAAAGCTGCTTTCTACACCAAGTAATTAATGTGGTGTTTACTTTCGACTTCATTCCAACGTCCACCAGTGGAAACATCCCTTAAAACAGCCCCCCCCCCAACTGTAGAGGGAAGCATCCGTTCGTTATGTAATAGAGGGAAGCGATTCTACGAGAGATTTAGAGCTTGCTTTCAGATTAGCACACCACTAAAGTAAGTCTTGACGTGCCTGTTCAGACAAACTCATTGTTTGTTCATAATAACCACCTTCAGATTAATTTCTTAGCTTTTTCAAATGGTAAACTTACAACCATATAACTGAGTCTAGATTAAAACGCAGGTGCTCTAAAGATTGATGTGGTTCAAAATTAGATTTGTCTTTGTGAATTAAAAATCCTTAAGATGGCAGAAGTTTGGCAATAATGAAAAAATTGTTTAAACATTGTTGATATATGTGTTACCCATAAAAAACATCATCAATATAACCAGAGGACACTACCCCTGGCTGTCGCAAATGTGGAAACACTGGCTTCATAATTTTTGTAAAGATTCGAGTCCCACTGGACAATCCATTAGAGAGTGCAT